TCATGTATGCCATGATATGTATAAGGCCAGATGTATCGTATGCCCTGAGTGCAACGAGCCGATACCAATCAAACCTAGGAGAGGCGCATTGGACTGCGGCCAAGAATATCCTTAAGTACTTGAAAAGGAACAAGGATAAGTTCCTGGTGTGTGGATGCCACAAAGAACTTGTGGTTGAAGGTTACACCGACGCTAGCTTCCATACTGACAAAGACGACTTCAAGTCACAATCAGGGTACATATTCTGTCTGAATAGAGGAGCGGTTAACTGGAAGAGTGCCAAGCAGAGCACCACTGTAGACTCTACAACTGAAGCCGAGTACTTGGCCGTTTCAGAAGCTGCCAAGGAAGTTGTTTGGATTCGCAAGTTCATCAGCGAACTCGGTGTTGTACCCTCAATCAAGGGGCCGATAGACCTTTATTGTGATAACAATGGAGCTATCGCTCAGGCCAGGGAGCCCAGAGAACACCAGAAGGTCAAACACGTGCAAAGGCGATTTCACATGATAAGGGAATGGAAATTCGAAGGTGAAATCAGAATTTGTAAGATTGGCACAGATGATAATGTGACCGATCCCTTGACTAAACTGCTGCCTCAGGTGAAACACAACAAGCACATTGAGGCGATGGGAATCAAGCATGTTGGACTCTGGCTTTGAAATTCCCTGTACATGTGTTTTAATTAAACTGGTAGTTTTAATGTAAAACACTGTATTGAAACCATTCATTTATGGAGTAATTAATTTTTGTGCAAAATTATCATTCACTCCATTACTATTTAATTGTGGTTTAGAATTAAATAATGAGTCCATTCGATTTACGGAAATATTCAAAACAGGGTATCAAGACCATGTCTTGGATAAAGAAACACCTGTTAAGTGAACATTGAATGTTTAAATCGAAAACTGTCCCTAATCGAGGTCATCTAACAGATGGACGATTGATGACCGCCAAAGATTAGTGTGTAGTATGATTTACAGCACCGTTTCTTGTGCTGCCAGGACGTGACAGTCATAAATCATTTGCACAGGTACAGTTTGGAACTGTACTGGATAAGACCTATGAGAGTACTTTAAGAAATTCTAACGATAGAGGGTTCAAAATTATTACAATGCTAATTCTTCATTAAGATAAAGTGATCGGAATGCCTAGGTGGAGGCCGCTTCCGATCAATAATATCGAGGTACAATTGATATTATAGCTTAATCTTAACTGAACCCTTCGGGTCGAACCCAATCGAATCACGGATCCGAGACGACGAATTCATCCGAAAGGATTTAATGAGTCGACAGAGTTTTATGAATACGGACGTCGGATATCGAGCCTAGGGCGTCGAGACCGAACGTTGCAAAATCACAAAGCGACAAGTATGAACATAGCCCTAGCACCACACTAGCCTAGCCATGTGGATGCTAGGCTAGTTCAAGCTAGCATTCACTTAGCATGGCTAGGCGCAGCCTAGGCGTGCCATGGAAGCCCATCGCAAGCTCTAGGCGCAGCCTAGGCGCACCATCGCAGCCTAGGTGCACTATCGCAGCCTAGGCGTGCCATGGCAGCCTAACGCAAGCACCAGGCATCCCATCGTAGCTAGCAGCGTGCTAGCCTAGATGCCTAGGTGAGCATGGAAGGGCCACACACGCACCAAGCACAGCCATCGCAGTGCTAGGCACTGGCGCATGTGCATGTGCGTGTGTGTGTGCCTCTCACCAAGCATAGCAGTGCTAGGCACTGGCTGATGTGTGCTAGTGTGAGGGGCACCTGGCAGCATCGCCCAGCACGCATGTTAGGCCCTTGCATGCGTAGGTGCACAGGCTGGGCTAGCATTGCGTGTGGTGCATGTGCGTGGGGTGCATGGCTGGTGCGTGTGCGAGTAGTGCGTGGTGCGATGCATGGTGCGTGGCTAGTGCATGTGCTGCGAAGCTGATGCGCATAGTGCGAGGCAAAAGGGGGCCAGCATGCGTGGCTCGCTAGCAGCACGCATGCTGGCTATGCTAGCAATGGTGTGCGAGAGGTGCTGCGAGAGATGCGAAGGCCAGCACCAGCGCCTAGAATTGGACAGCACTAGCGCCTAACACTGGGCAGCACCAGCGCCTAGCATTGCCTAGCACCAAGCATGCGAGGCTGCTGGGCAGGCTGGTGCTAGCTGGCTGGGCTGGCTGGCATTGCTAGCTGGCAGCAGCCCAACAGCCCTTGTTTGAGCCGGTTTGCATGTGGGGACTATTGTATGGAGCAATGGCTTGGGGATCAAGGCAATGGTCCCCCCTAAGCCTTTGGTCCTCACTTGGCTTTCTCTATTATTGTGCCATGTGTCGATTTGTGATTGAATTGATTAATCATTTAATTTTAGAATTAAATAATTATCATTGCGCCAACTCTCCCACATTGATGGGAGATTGAAATCTAAGGGTTCATTTCCCTATAAATACCAAGCTTGGGTATTTGGGAATGAACAACCTTGAGTGGAATTAATAAGGCAACTCTAATTAAGAGTAAACCTTTGATTCGTAAAACTCATAGTTTTGTTTTTTTCCGGGTCTTGACTAACCTTCAAGACTTAGGACGCTCGGGTCGGGTCAAGGGTACGATCCGTCGGAGATCTCGTGGTTTCAGGATTTTGAAGTAAGAGCTCTTCGGGAGCGAAGCACGCAACAAAGATATAAATCTTGTTCTTAGTCTTGTTTGATTAAGTTTATTATGCTTATTAATTGCTTTAATTAAGGGGCGGGTCTTGGGGGGTTTCCTTCCGCGTAGTGTCTGGTCACTACGAAACCCTACAAAATGGTTATACTTTGCATTTATATTTATAGTATTCGTGTTCAGAATTATATTGTTTCCATTGATTGTTAAAGGTCCGAAAGGACGGTTGGATATCTTGTTTTCAAAATACTAGGTAGTTTTGACAAACATGAAATATTGAGTTGAAAAACTCAAAATTGTCAATAGTTGACAAACCAACATATCTTTTCACTTTATACGCTTATGAGTAGGACTCATTGATGAAGTAATTCAGGTACGAATTAGTTAAAAAGATAGAACTTTGTTTTGCGGCGCATTAGATGCTTAATTATGCCTAACAAAGTATAAAAGTTGAGGAACTTAAAGAAATGATTCTTAAAGTTATGAGATGATGTACTGTAAGAAATATAGGAAACAGGGAACAAAGAAAAGTATGAGATTCCTTTTCTACGCTTGAGTTCATGTTATTATTGTCAACTTAGCAACTCGTTATCTTCACAAGTATTGGATACTACTTGAGTGTTCCACTTTGAAAGTGACCTCAAACTATTGAAGACAAGCTAAGTTATTGACTTACAAGCTTAGAATGAAGCAAGTAATGCTGCATTAGTTGTAAGGTCACTTGTTTTGTTTAAAGTCCTTTTAAAAGTAAGGCTGGAACAAAAAATGGTCATTGTGTTCCATGATCAGCAAACGATCCGTTTACACACGAAAAGACTCACATTCAAAAGTAAAAGCAATAGTTTCTAGGTTTACTTGAATGACATAGTCGCATAAGCCATGAGTCAAGAATGCTTGATTATAAACAAACATTTCCCAACCATGAAACTCAAAAAGTTCAAGTCATGGACATGATTTGTGTTCCAAACCCTTTAGCAATGTCACTAACAACAAGAACGTACTCAAGGCTCTATTAGATAGAATCTTGATAGATGATCGATTCGGAATCGTTCTAAGACAAGAAAGTCTACTTGTTGAAATCGACAAACAAAGGAGCTATTGTGCTTGGTATAGACAATTGACTCCGAAAGCTAAAAGGAATTCATTACTTCAATGTCTCACAAAGAATTCGCAAGAATATGGATATATTCTTCAAATGTGAGCAAACTGGACCTTGAGTAGCTCAAAAGTTCAGTGAAGTATAGAATCGAATTGGCAAGATATCACAACGTGTAGCTAGATTAGATCGAGCGACGTTTGCTTGAGCCAAGTGTGATCTCATCAAACTTATGAAATTGAAATTTCACAATGAGCTCCACAAAAAACATATTGTTTCTTGACGGAGACCTTGATGCCATTTGGAAATGACTCGAATGATGATGGATCACATCCCTTCCTATGAAGTTCTTAAAGATTTGCACAAATGACTAAATGTTACACTAAACAAAAATGTCAAAGCTAAGAAAGGACACCATATTCAGTTATGGATAAAAATAATTTCTAGCGTCTTTTCAAGTATATGACTAGGGCTCTTAGCTCAATGGGAGTTCATTGACTCAGTGGGAGCTATGTGGCTCAATAAGGGCTAAGATAGCTTGAGAAGGAGCTGACTGTTTGTTTCACAACGAACTTTTACCCAAACACAATATTCATGTCTCTTTGTAAGTATTCAAGTGAGACTACGGGCATTACCTCCACAACCTAATTGAGAACATAGTATTTGTTGCTCTAAATAGTGTCTTTCTGGAAAGTAACACCTTTTCAAAATGACAGGTGGGAGAAAAATCGAACTCGACAAAGTTCGAGAGGACGAGCAACAGTGTCAACCTGATAAAACTGACAATCAAAATGCTTTAGAAGTAGTTGATAAGATTGGTCAGAATCAAACAGACAATGTAAATGCTCAACCTATTACCCCGTATAGGTATAGAATTCACCAAAGGTTGGATTGAATCCTATAAATTTCTACTAAGTTAGAAATAAACCTAAGACTTACCAGCATACTATTTACCATTGGATGGTGAGGAATTAGTGTCTTGTAAATTAGCTACGACAAATCCAAATTCCAAATAATGGTTAGAGACCATAAAATCTGAAATAGACTCCATGTTTGTAAATCATGTTTGGAACTTGATTCATTTGCATGAAGGGTGACAGACTCATCAATCGCTTATATGTTTTCAAGGAGAAAACTGACAAATGTGGAAATGCATAAGCATACAAAGCACTAGTAGAAAAAATGAATAAGGCACCGCACCTTTCGCACCGGTTTGAGAAAACCGGTGTTAAAAGAAATAGGCGGGATTGAGGGAAAGAGTTTTCGCACTGGTTCTTACAAAACCGGTGCGAAAAGTGAGTAAATCGCACCGGTTCAGTTCGAACCAGTGCGAAAACTCTTGTTAAATAAAAAAAAAAACCTGGTTATAACTTAATTTTTTTCTCTTGAAACCCCTCGATCTTTCCTCCTCTCTCATTCTCTCTCCTCTCTCTCTCCTCCATTGAAGCGTACTCATCTGCCTCTCTCTCCTTTCCTTTCTTCACTCTTTCGATCGCCTATGCACCCTTCCCCGGTTTCATTGTGGAGCTCTTTAGTTGTGCTCCATCAATCAAGGTTTTCCTCTATCTTCTTTTTTTGTTGCATTCGATCTTAGGGTTTTGTTTTTTTTAAACTTGAGGTGTTTTTTAGGGTTTTATTTGGCGGTGGTGGCCTTATTGCAACCTAAAATCGTTGGCTTCATCTTCTTTTGTCGAAAACTCTTCATGGTGGGTTCGGTTGTTACGCAATTGCGAATACTCTTCCTTTTTTTCTGGGTTTGTAATGAAATCATTGGTTTTATTTGTGTTTTTTTGATGAAATTATTTTGTGGGTTGTTTTGTTTTGATGTTTTTTTTTTTACGAGTATCTTCTGTTTTCCTGTTTTTTCTCCTTAATCTGATTATGGTTTGATTATTATGATTGTTGGACCTTATATTAACAATATCATCAACTTTAGCATAAGTTTGAATTCAATAGAGTTTTGATCTTGGTATAAAAATGCCATAATTTCTGTTGCAAGAATCTAATTGGGTATGAATGGAAATTGGGGGTTCTTATGTTTTGCATTGGATTTTTTTTTGAGTAATTAATTTGAGTAGGAATTTTATCTTTAATAATGGAGTGTGACGTTGGTTTTTGGAATCAGGACCCAATTTCTTTGTTTGATAGCGTTTTGAAACTAAAAGGCTACAACAACCTATTATACCTTGATTAGGGTTTTGAATTTTTGATGTTTGTATTAAGTGCTCTGAATTTGCTCATGTATTGGTTTTTGGCTTAATTTTGGTGAGTAATTATTGAACTTTGTAACAAGGGGAAGTTAGTGGCTTGGGTTTTCAAAAGTATGTTGTAAATGAACAAAGTGAGAATACGATTGCTAGGTTAAAATTCTGTTCTATGGCTGAAGTTTATGATTATTATTAAACTTTTTGGACAGAAAGACGAGAACTTAGTTTGGATTTTAAGAAGTTTTTCAATTCTTATTGGAAATTTACTACCCTTTCTGCTCAATTTTCTTTCCTAGATCGAGATAGTTAAATGATTTATAGTGGCAAGGGCAAGGATATGGGGCATTCAGGAAGTCTGCACTATTTAGTTTGAGTATTTGTAGAGGCTACTTCAGTATTTGTCTACACTTAATGGGGTCTAGAACTTGATTTTAGCTTCTTGCTATGTTGTTAGTGGGATAGCATTGGGGTCTTAATCCTGGTAGCAAGCACTGATTACATTTTATAGTTTGACTTATTTCCTTATACTTCTTCGATATACATTGTTTAGGAAATTCTGGATTAGATGTCCACTAAAAGACTTTAATATTAATCGCTACATAATCTTAAACAAGGAAAGCTTATGACATTACTAATGAAATCTCAGACATGGTAGCTTAAGTTGATTAGTGGAGGTTCTTATATTAATTTGGCTAATCATTACGCTCAAATAGAATTATGCATATTTTTCTGATTCACAAATCCAAAGGAGCTTTACATTTCACCTCAGATAGTACTATTTTCTATATGTGCTGATGATGATACTGTATAAAAATTTCAGAAAAAATGTATGTTCTGATAGGAGAAATAAGGTCTTTAAGCCTAATTAAGTACACTCATTTATATGTGCCAAGTATAATGACTGTTAATTAGAGTATAAATTTTGAGTTTAATTATCGAACTTATATGCAGAAACCTCACTCAAAATCTGAGGTGGACAGTAAAAGCAAGGGAACTAAAGGAGAAAAGGTAAAAAAATCAATTGTGCCGCAAGAAAAAGTAAGCACTGATGCAAAGAAGAGAAAAATAAGAAGAAATGGAAGCGAAAGAAGGCAAATGACCTCCGATTTGAAGCAGGGATGGAAAAGTTGGATGGTGTTTCAACAAGAAAGCAGAGAAAGAAAGAGTAAGTGTGTGTGTGTGTGTGTGTTTTTTTTTTTTAATTTTTTTTTATTTTTTATGTTGGTTCTTGTTTGTTTATTTGTTTTTGTACTCAAACAGAGTTGGATTGTAGTATTTGTCATTGAGAGTGGTCGAGTTAGAGAAAACAATCTAGTGTTGGACATAATAGGATTAAGTTTAATCAATTAATCCTCCCTCAAGAACAATGATTTGATTTTGAAATTGGGTCTGAAGAACTATTCAGTGCTATGTTGAACGGATGACATTGCATTCTTGGATTCGAGTATGTTGATAGTGAGGCTGATAAGCTTTAGAAATACAAACACAATTTTGATGACTTAAAGCTTAGAAATATAGAAGAAGTTTGGATTTTTAGGTTTAAAAGATTTCTTTGATTATTTGATGATATATGTGTCAATTATTATATTGCTGAATATTTCTAAGTAATTGACATTTGTAATTTCATTGGCTGGGTCCTTGAAGTTGAAAAGAGTTGGACAAGCTGCTAATGAAATTATGTTTCTCTTCCTTTTCTCTTTCTAGACACAGTGTCCATTATCTAGCACGTAGACTTGTGCATCCACTTTAATTTTATGATACGTTAATTATAATTTGATAGCAATTTAACTCTTGTTGAGCTTGTTTAACTGCTATTTGCGAACCTTTTATTTTGCAATAGAGTCATGCATTAAGAATTGTTGTTTTGGCTTATGTATACAATTCAAGGAATCTATCAGCATTCTTAGATTATTTGTGGAGTGTGGACACTTCCACGGCTTTGTGTTAATTGACCGTTAGGCTGACTTCATTTAGAAAGAAGGCCAAGTTAAGGAAATTCTATGTTAGATTCTTCAACATGTTTGCTAAATTTCTAATTTGGACTGTCTTGTTCCTCTTGATTTTTGTCTGCAATACATCATGTTTTGGTTGAGGGTTGGGATGAGAGTTTCATCCCTTAGAATGCTCATAAACGATTGTTTGGATGAGAATTCTGTCCCATATACAAACTGCTTTAAGATACTTGCATAGAAAGGAATTAGTCAGCTGATTTGAAAGAAATATTCTTAGGACTCTAAGAAATTGGTCTCTTATATATCTTACAGGTTATACGGACCCTACAGTGCAGTACAACTATTTGCTTATGAGAGCTACAAGGTGATACTTGAATCTTTCACGGTCGTTGTAGTCAATAGTCTTTTTAATTGCTAGATATACCTTATACTTGGGTCCTTTAGAAACTTTTTCGGGGAAAGGATGAGGAACTATTAGTTTTGGGAAGGCTAACTTTTTTTCCTAGCATATTTATGGTATCATCTTACAGATGAAGCTTTGAAACAATACATGTAATTAGAACTGGGGTCCTAGAAATTCTATTTTGATCCTACTGAAAATTTGTTGATTGAGGTAACTGAATTTGATCTGATAAAGAAGTGAATTTATCTTGATGGCATCTACTGAAAATATAAAAATAAATAACCATAATTTGAGACCTCAGCTTTGCACCACCAGATGACAGCTAAAAACCAGCAGATAGCCAACATGCTTTGCAAAACCAGGCCAGCAACCAAACAACAGCATCACAGCAGGTGAAAGAGTAGGCAACGAAACCAACAGCCTGAACCAGCAGCCTGAACCAGACCTAAGCAGCCAGAAACAGAAAGCAGTAGCTAGCAACAGCTTCTCCAGACCTTGATTCTGTATTTTTTTTTTAAAGTGTAATATTACAAGTTATTGAAGAAAATATATGTGTTTTATGTATAGTATAATTATATATAAGTATTTGGTACAATTTAAGTGAAAAAAATGCAAAAAAAAATTGTTTTTTTTTTTTATTTTTTTGGGCATTTTTGGCACCAATTTTGGAAAGAACCGATGATAAAAGTTTTTTTAAAAATAATTTTGGGGACTTTTTGCACCGATTCTAAGTAAAAACCGGTGCAAAAATTTGAGTTTTTGCCACCGGTTCACCCCTAAAACCGGTGCGAAAAGTGCTTTTTGCCACCAGTTTTGAACCGGTGCGAAAACTATGGGGTTTTAGCACCCCCCGAATACAACCCGGTTCAAAACTGGTGGGAAAGGGGGGTTTGAACCGGTGGGGAATTGGTTTTTTCGCCTAGTAATTTGTTTCAATTAGCTTTGTTGAATGCATTTGACTTTCATTTGATTCAAATAGCTTTGTGTAAATGTCTTTGACTTTCATTTAATTCAAAAAGATTTGTTTAATTGTATTTGACTTTCATATAATTCAATTAGAATTGTAGAATGCATTTGACTTTCATTTGATTCAAAAAGCATTATTTGAATGTGTTTGACTTTCATTTAATTGAATTAGCTTTGTTTGAAAGTGTTTGACTTTCATTTAATTGAATTACCTCTTTAGAATGCATTTAACTTTAATTTGATACAATTAGCTTTGTTTTAATGTTATTAAATTTCATTTGATTAAAAAATCTTTGTTTGAACGTGTTTGACTTTTATTTTGTTTAATTAGCTATGTAGAATGCATTTCACTTTCACTTGGATTTGATTAGCTTTGTTTGATTATGTTTGACTTTCACTTGACTCAAAAAGCTTTGTTTGAATGTGTTTGACTTACATTTGATTCAATTAGCAATATGGAATGCATTTGACTTTAATTTGATTCAAAAAGCTTTGTTTGAATGCATTAGACTTTCATTTAATTCAAAAAGCTTTGTTTGAATGTATTTGATTGTCATATGATTCAATTAGCATTGTTGAATGCATTTGACTTTCATTTGATTCTAAAATCTATGTTTGAATGTGTTTGACTTTTATTTTATTCCATTAGCTTTGTTTAAATGTGTTTGACTTTCATTTAATTGAAAAAGCTTTGTTTAAATGTGTTTGACTTTCATTTGATTTAATTAGCAATATTGAATGCATTTGACTTTCATTTGATTCAAATAGCTTTGTTTGAATGTGTTTGACTTTTATTTGATTCAAAATGCTCTATTTGATTGTTTTTTACTTTCATTTGTTTCAATTAGCAATATGGAATGCATTTGACTTTCATTTAATTCAAAAAGCTTTGTTTGAATGCATTAGACTTTCATTTGATTCATAAAACTTTGTCTGAATGCATTTAACTTTCATTTGATTCAAATAGCTTTGTTAAAATGTGTTTTACTTTCATTTGATTCATAAAGTTTTGTTTGAATGTGTTTGACTTTAATTTGATACAATTAGCTTTGTTTAAATGTTGTTGACTTTCATTTTATTCAAAAAGCTTTGTTTGAAAGTGTTTGACTTTCATTTATTCAATTAGCATTGTAGAATGAATTTGATTTTTATTTGATTTAAAAAGCATTGTTTGAATGTGCTTGACTTTCATTTGATTCAATTAGCTTTGTTTTAATGTAATTTACTTTCATTTGACTCAAAAAGCTTTGTTTGAATGTGTTTGACTTTCATTTGATTCAATTAGCAATATGGAATGCATTTGACTTTCATTTAATTCAAAAAGCTTTGTTTGAATCCATTAGACTTTCATTTGATTCAAAAAGCTTTGTTTGAATGTATTTGACTTTCATTTGATTCAATTAGCATTGTTGAATGCATTTGACTTTCATTTGATTCAAATAACTTTGTTTAAATGTCTTTGACTTTCATTTAATTCAAAAAGATTTGTTTAATTGTATTTGACTTTCATATAATTCAATTAGAATTGTAGAATGCATTTGACTTTCATTTGATTCAAAAAGCATTATTTGAATGTGTTTGACTTTCATTTAATTGAATTAGCTTTGTTTGAAAGTGTTTGACTTTCATTTAATTGAATTACCTCTTTAGAATGCATTTAACTTTAATTTGATACAATTAGCTTTGTTTTAATGTTATTAAATTTCATTTGATTAAAAAATCTTTGTTTGAACGTGTTTGACTTTTATTTTGTTTAATTAGCTATGTAGAATGCATTTCACTTTCACTTGGATTTGATTAGCTTTGTTTGATTATGTTTGACTTTCACTTGACTCAAAAAGCTTTGTTTGAATGTGTTTGACTTACATTTGATTCAATTAGCAATATGGAATGCATTTGACTTTAATTTGATTCAAAAAGCTTTGTTTGAATGCATTAGACTTTCATTTAATTCAAAAAGCTTTGTTTGAATGTATTTGATTGTCATATGATTCAATTAGCATTGTTGAATGCATTTGACTTTCATTTGATTCTAAAATCTATGTTTGAATGTGTTTGACTTTTATTTTATTCCATTAGCTTTGTTTAAATGTGTTTGACTTTCATTTAATTGAAAAAGCTTTGTTTAAATGTGTTTGACTTTCATTTGATTTAATTAGCAATATTGAATGCATTTGACTTTCATTTGATTCAAATAGCTTTGTTTGAATGTGTTTGACTTTTATTTGATTCAAAATGCTCTATTTGATTGTTTTTTACTTTCATTTGTTTCAATTAGCAATATGGAATGCATTTGACTTTCATTTAATTCAAAAAGCTTTGTTTGAATGCGTTAGACTTTCATTTGATTCATAAAACTTTGTCTGAATGCATTTAACTTTCATTTGATTCAAATAGCTTTGTTAAAATGTGTTTTACTTTCATTTGATTCAAAAAGCTTTGTTTGAATGTGTTTGACTTTAATTTGATACAATTAGCTTTGTTTAAATGTTGTTGACTTTCATTTTATTCAAAAAGCTTTGTTTGAAAGTGTTTGACTTTCATTTATTCAATTAGCATTGTAGAATGAATTTGATTTTTATTTGATTTAAAAAGCATTGTTTGAATGTGCTTGACTTTCATTTGATTCAATTAGCTTTGTTTTAATGTAATTTACTTTCATTTGACTCAAAAAGCTTTGTTTGAATGTGTTTGACTTTCATTTGATTCAATTAGCAATATGGAATGTATTTGACTTTCATTTAATTCAAAAAGCTTTGTTTGAATCCATTAGACTTTCATTTGATTCAAAAAGCTTTGTTTGAATGTATTTGACTTTCATTTGATTCAATTAGCATTGTTGAATGCATTTGACTTTCATTTGATTCAAATAGCTTTGTTTAAATGTCTTTGACTTTCATTTAATTCAAAAAGATTTGTTTAATTGTATTTGACTTTCATATAATTCAATTAGAATTGTAGAATGCATTTGACTTTCATTTGATTCAAAAAGCATTATTTGAATGTGTTTGACTTTCATTTAATTGAATTAGCTTTGTTTGAAAGTGTTTGACTTTCATTTAATTGAATTACCTCTTTAGAATGCATTTAACTTTAATTTGATACAATTAGCTTTGTTTTAATGTTATTAAATTTCATTTGATTAAAAAATCTTTGTTTGAACGTGTTTGACTTTTATTTTGTTTAATTAGCTATGTAGAATGCATTTCACTTTCACTTGGATTTGATTAGCTTTGTTTGATTATGTTTGACTTTCACTTGACTCAAAAAGCTTTGTTTGAATGTGTTTGACTTACATTTGATTCAATTAGCAATATGGAATGCATTTGACTTTAATTTGATTCAAAAAGCTTTGTTTGAATGCATTAGACTTTCATTTAATTCAAAAAGATTTGTTTGAATGTATTTGATTGTCATATGATTCAATTAGCATTGTTGAATGCATTTGACTTTCATTTGATTCTAAAATCTATGTTTGAATGTGTTTGACTTTTATTTTATTCCATTAGCTTTGTTTAAATGTGTTTGACTTTCATTTAATTGAAAAAGCTTTGTTTAAATGTGTTTGACTTTCATTTGATTTAATTAGCAATATTGAATGCATTTGACTTTCATTTGATTCAAATAGCTTTGTTTGAATGTGTTTGACTTTTATTTGATTCAAAATGCTCTATTTGATTGTTTTTTACTTTCATTTGTTTCAATTAGCAATATGGAATGCATTTGACTTTCATTTAATTCAAAAAGCTTTGTTTGAATGCGTTAGACTTTCATTTGATTCATAAAACTTTGTCTGAATGCATTTAACTTTCATTTGATTCAAATAGCTTTGTTAAAATGTGTTTTACTTTCATTTGATTCAAAAAGCTTTGTTTGAATGTGTTTGACTTTAATTTGATACAATTAGCTTTGTTTAAATGTTGTTGACTTTCATTTTATTCAAAAAGCTTTGTTTGAAAGTGTTTGACTTTCATTTATTCAATTAGCATTGTAGAATGAATTTGATTTTTATTTGATTTAAAAAGCATTGTTTGAATGTGCTTGACTTTCATTTGATTCAATTAGCTTTGTTTTAATGTAATTTACTTTCATTTGACTCAAAAAGCTTTGTTTGAATGTGTTTGACTTTCATTTGATTCAATTAGCAATATGGAATGCATTTGACTTTCATTTAATTCAAAAAGCTTTGTTTGAATCCATTAGACTTTCATTTGATTCAAAAAGCTTTGTTTGAATGTATTTGACTTTCATTTGATTCAATTAGCATTGTTGAATGCATTTGACTTTCATTTGATTCAAATAGCTTTGTTTAAATGTCTTTGACTTTCATTTAATTCAAAAAGATTTGTTTAATTGTATTTGACTTTCATATAATTCAATTAGAATTGTAGAATGCATTTGACTTTCATTTGATTCAAAAAGCATTATTTGAATGTGTTTGACTTTCATTTAATTGAATTAGCTTTGTTTGAAAGTGTTTGACTTTCATTTAATTGAATTACCTCTTTAGAATGCATTTAACTTTAATTTGATACAATTAGCTTTGTTTTAATGTTATTAAATTTCATTTGATTAAAAAATCTTTGTTTG